GACTGCAGTATCCAGTGGATTCAAAAATATATCAAAAGTGAATAGTCAATTACTTTTTATTTTATTAATGTTGTTTTCATTCAGGTTCAATTGACTGCGGAGAACAACATAGCTGTGTTGATGAGTTTAAATGAACTTGTGATGAATTCAACTGATAATGATCAATCCATTGATAATATCATAATAGTATCAAATGTACTGAACCAAACTGCAATATTGATATCAGATCATGCTACTCTATCACCTTCTAACTTAACAGTGGTAAGCATAATAACTTTAAAATTTCCTGCAAAATATATATCACATGTAATTTATTGTGGCTTAATATATCAAATAGATAACTGAGACTGTTATACAAACATTGGACATTATAGAGGAATGGCCAGCAATTATGAAAGCAGAAGGAAACCAGTGAGATATAACTAAGCATTGCTTTTATTGTCATTAATTGTTATTCATAGGATCATTCAGTCATTTGAGGGAATAGTGGATGCTGTTTTGAATTACGACAATGACACTAATATAGACATAGTTGAAAGAAACATTGCTTTTAAAATAAGAAAGGTAATAAAAACAAGATAAAACGATAATAATGATAACAATTTTCTATTTAAAAGGTTACAAGGTCAAGTTATAATAAACTAACATTCACAGCAACAGCTTCAAGTTAGTCCATTTTTATACTAATTACTATCACCTTGTATATAGATGGTTCACTGATGATAGATACTGATGGTAACTCTACTAATACTATAATAGGATCAATTACAATACCAAAGAGCATTCTCAATGTCACTACTGATGCTCAGATAAAAGTAGCATTTTCTCTATATGAGGAAACAGCATTCTTTCCTATCAGAGATCCTCCTCCTAATACAATAGTGGGATCATCAGTCATTAGTGCTAGAATTGCTGGAGTGTCTGATGGTACTCAACTACCTGATCCAGTAGTAATCACTCTTGCACTAAAGACAAATGTAATTATAATTTTCTTAGATCCAATTTTGTATAAACTATCTATCTATTTATAGAACTTTAGTAATCCTTTTTGCGTCTATTGGGACTTTAAAGCTGCTGGTATGTATATTTTCATATTTGAACAGTCTTTAGTCCAGCCCCAAATTTTATCAGGGCTGGACCCAAGGCTATAAATACCTGTTGAAATGCATTAATGTTTTTATAGAAGGTGGAGGTAACTGGTCAACTGATGGGTGTACTGTTGAAGCTGCTAACAGTTCAGTAACATGTCACTGCAATCATTTGACCAACTTTGCTATACTAGTAGTAAGCTTTCCACAGATTTTTATGCATAATGTATTCTCCAATGTACAATGACTTTTACAGGATATATCAAGGAGGACAGAAGGTCCCACTCAGTCTCCACGTCATATTGCTGTAGCACTTGACATGGTCTCTTATTTTGGAGTTGGTATATCATTAGTGGGTCTGATACTAACCATAATCACACTTGTCATATTCAAGTATGTATAAGATTGTATTGTATTGGGGGAAAGAGTGAGGGAAGGTAAAAATTATAGCCAAAATTTAAATTGTTTTCCATGCTTTTTCTTTCTTTATAGAAAAATAAGAACTAAAGATGCCAGCAAGTTTCACATCCAACTCTGTGTCTCATTGTCACTAATGCTCCTAGTGTTTGTCAGTGGTATCAGTGAAGTCTCTCCTAAGGAAGGTTGCATTACTGTTGGTGTTCTCATACATTACTTTGCTCTTGTTGCTTGGATGTGGATGGGAGCTGAAGCTTTACTGATGTTTCAGAAACTTGTCATTGTTTTTGTCAATGTCTCTTGGTATTACCACCTAGCTGTATCCATAGTCTGTTGGGGTAAGATCATTGTTATTAAATTATTATTATTATTACGTGTATTTTTAAAGGTTTACCCCTGATACCAGTCACCATATTGCTGGTAGTTGATTACAATTATTATTTAACACTTGATGAAAATGATTCAGGATAGTAAGTGATATACACAAGTAATCCATTATATTTT